CAGTGAAGTGAGCGGTTACATGGCGTCAGTTGGTGTGGCGAGCGGAGACCGCACAAATGCGATCTTGTATCCAGAAGCGACGCGTGAGAGTTGCGAGCCAATCAGGAGTGACCAAAGATCGCAACACGAACCCAACGTGCAGAGGAAAAGCGACGTGAAGACGGAGAGCGGTGAGACTTCGAGATTTGCGCAGGAGAGCAGTAGCAGATTGAATCTCACTTCGAGATTTGCGCAGTCGAGCACAGAGGCGAAGTAACTGCGAGTACGGAGAAGTGCGGGGTAGTGAGTAGGGTGCACGAAGCGGTCAGAGGACCAACACGAGAAGAGAGAAGGAGAAGAGAGAGAAGAGGCGCGATTGGACGGACGATCAGTCGTCAGTGCATTGGTGGACGCGTGGGGCAACGACAGCGACGGGCGACGAGACCAGGAGGAGAGGACCCTCCGAGTTACTGTGTGGCTGCGAGCCGTAGGGTAGGCGCCAGAGGCGTAATCCAAGTGGCTTTAGTAAGCGAGGTTTAGTGGGACCCGAATCGTCGGTGCTTTGCGTGGACAGAGTTGTGCTGGGGGTGGATTAGAAGGACAGGAGCACGGAGAGTGGGCGCTCGATAAGTTACGGACGCGTGGCGAGTCGGAAGCGTAAGAGTGAGACTGAGTAGCGGTGTATTCCGGGAAAGAAGGCCCAGAGAAGAACCGTGGCAATAGGTCGAGAGTTGAGAGGGTGAGTCAGGTGAGTGATAGCACGCCACCGAGAGCGAGTTCGCGGCTGCTAGTCACAACAGGCCAGAGTCACAGGAGTTGAGGAGAGAAGTAAATAAAATAGGGACGAGAGTCCCGGCACCTTTGCGAGGGGCCTACAGAGTGTGTGAGTTGCATTGAGACGGGCTACCCAACAAACCGAACTACTGGTAGTCCACCGCAGGAAGCACAGACAATATACGATCCGCCAGCAACGGGGCGTAAGCGGGTTGTCACAGAATGAAGGACCCCCTCCGGACGAAAAACAGCAAGTGCTACCAGATGTGACGACTGGTGAGAGCACGGCGCAGAGGAACAGCGACGAGGGAAGCGTCGCGTGGCGAGGAGCGAAGCGGAGGAGGGCGGCGAGAGTCCAACGATGGGGACCCGAAGATAAGGCGCAGGAGGCTACTGATGTGCCTCGAACATGGTAAATTGGAAATTGAAATTGAAATGATTAGTTGCTTGTCGGCTACGAGTAATTGCTTGTTAGCATTCCCTTCGTATCCTATGTAAGTATATGAATTTCACTATACTAGATTCTATGTAGTCCTTGAGTTGAATCTTGAAGTAGCGTAGCATAGTAGTGAGCCGCGGTTCATTTGATTCGGGTCAGAATCTTCATAGTGAGTTTAAAGGAAAAATAATGATCGTCATTGCGGTTCCATGTTTAACAATACTCGTCCAAACATGATAATTTCCTTCCGGTCAGGCGTGTGTGTGCCTGGCCGCTCATTGGCAACTTAAAGACAGTTGACAGTCAGCAAAGACAAGTAGTAGCACAATGGAAGAATGTAGGACGCATTGGTACCAACGTCATGGCCATCGCTAGCTGTGACGCTGGTGCGTCGATACATTTTACCACACACCAAGCATTTGTAAGTGCTTGCTACACGAGAAGCCCCTCTCAGCTGCTACTCCGACGAGCTGCCCCCCCACACACACATAACAAAGCTTATGCGATAGGGAAACGCCACATGAAGTCTCATGTGGCTTGTAGAGAATTTCCGACATGGTCCGCGTCCGCAAGCTAGTGACTTTACATTTATTAGCACCTATTATGCTAGAGCAAACTTGAATTATAAAGGAAGCACATGAGTTTGTGCACCTCCTGTGCACATTCTTGGAGTAGTTTTTGTGCTCACTGAACGCTGGCAGCATTAACTGCTATCCCAGGGTAAATTATCGCAGGTACGTAGGTGTCGTTTTCTTCTTTTTCTACCTTTTCAAAGTCAGCTGCAAACTACAGACCACGATGATCACCACAATTAATATCTGAGATGGCGTCAAGAAATCTGCTATTAAAAGCTACTATAATATGCTCGAAAACGATTTCTCTATAATTTATTTTTTAGAGTTAAGGGGACGAGCTAATGGAATGTTCCTGAATGAAAAAATTGGATTTCGAGCCAATTTGTTGGCTGTACACTTAATTTCTTTGATCTGATACAGACTGGTTTCGTCTCACCCTCGACGCCTCTCAGATTGCGACTGTGATGCGATGGTGTTCACCTGTAGTGAATTGTATGTTAGTTGGCTGGAGGGCGTTCATCGAGAGCAACAGTTCCAGAGCAGGAAGTACTTGCAGCTGCGTTGACACTTACGTCGATAACAAATGCCGATCTCTTTCCGCCTTACGAGGCGTTTTAGCTAAATTCTCTGCTTAGGAGTCACGCAATGCAAACACTACAGCCGGATCGGTCCCTCTAGTTTTTGTTTTGTGTCTAAAGGCTGGTGTTGTGCCTTTCCTCGCTTCGGTGATGCTGTACAAGCGAACATTTATATCCATCTATCAGCTCGCTCTCAAATGCTTTAAAAATGCAAACCTCGATTAAAAAACGTTTTAAATATTTCTTAACCCCTTGAACGCGACGGCCTGTATTAGACACGATATCAGAAAAAGCTTATCCTGGACCATACACGATAAGGAATTTTGACTTGACGTTTGTATTGAGGTTTACAAACTTTAAATGAAATAGGGGACGGGGTGCCGGGTTGTCTCACCAAATCTTTTCCCGCTCGACAGTGCGTCTTTCCATTTTCTAAAAATTGAGTCTAAGA